CTCTTTTACCAACGAATAGTGGGATTGACCGTAACATTATAACGCCCCCACGGCTGAAAGGGCGAGCATGTTTGGTGGGACTGGGATTTGAACCCGCGACCCGCAGATTGTGAGTCGAGCTCCCTAACACAGAGGAAGAAATAGAGAGAGACACTTTTGGAACAATCAGGTCAATCACTCCTTACTAGAAGTAAAAAATTAAATTCAATAGCAAGCAAAAGTTTTAGACGAAAGTTTGATAAGCGAATTTTATTTCCATTTGAAAATATGATAAATGTTGGACTGTTTATTTATAATACCTTCCTCTATTTGCAGTACCTGACTGAAGCACATACAAAATATAAACTGCATCATCTCCAGACTTAAAGTAAACTCATTCCAGCCAGATTGAAATTCGAATTTCACAGATCAATCACAGACGATAACAGTAATTTGGTGATCCAGTAGTTCCCTTTTTAATTTGTTCAAGGGATTCTGAAGGAACTGGTCGAATGATTGGATTGGTTTTATTATTTCTAGGACTTGCGTGTGCACAAGTATATTGAAATATTTTTCTTTAAATACACTGGAGCACAAAAATCCACGGTTGAAATTTTTTTCTTGAACTACACTAGAACACAAAAATCTACGGTTGTATTTGTTCCATTATGAAGACCCTGGGGTTTGCCGTGAGTTCATGGGCGATGGGAGAAATAGAAGAGTCCCAATGACAGTTGTAGTCAATGGTACGTTTCTATTATCACTTCATTGCGCAACTGAAAGTGCCTTTTAGAGAATAATACTTTGCTATACCTTTCTTGGTAGAAAGACGTTTTCTCGAGTAAAGCCTGTTAAAAATAAACAAGCTGTACGCTGTAGACTATTTTTGAGGTGGTGCACCATCCCGTAAAGTTAGCATTTTTAAAGAAGTAATATTTGTAAAACTTTTCTTAAATATTAGTCTTAAAACTTCGATAAAGAAACTATATTCACTGCACCTAGCATACAAAACAAAACATATATACCGTAAAGGTTTTTGAAAGTTATAAATCTTGTTTTTAAAGTAATTGCCTAAAAATTTTTATTAATCATAAATTACTTTCTTGAATTTTCGGTTTTTATTTAAACCAAGTTTGTTAACTGTGATCTCTAATTCTAGTTACAAAATTTTAAATTCAATCTATCGCCCAATACGTTTGTTTGTTTTGAATATCGCGCAAAGCTACACGAGAGTTATCTGCGCTAGCCGTCCCTAATTTAGCAGTGTAAGACTAAACGGTAGGCAGCTAGTCATCACCACCCATCGCCAACTCTTGGGCTACTCTTTTACCAACGAATAGTGAGATTGACCGTCACATTATAACCCCCACCACGGCTGAATGGGCGAACATGTTTGGTGTGACGGGGATTCGAACCGCGACCCTCAGATTGCGAGTCGAGCGCTCTAACCATCTGGCCATGCCGGGCCCGCCCAATACGAAGACTCTCTAAGGAAAACAAGACCAATAAACTACAAGGTTAGTTTATGTATCTTATAAGTGTGTCTTGTATTATTGTATTCTTCTAGGCATTCTAACAGGTAATGATTTATCTTTATTTTATTTATTTATACAAGCTTCCAATTACTTTGCAGCAATATTTTGTGCGAGCTGCAAAGTAACCGCATATATATACATGAATAATACGTGATAAAAAAAGTGTCGTTTTATTTAAAACTTTTCCACAATATAGGCGAAATGAACCCTATCTATACCATTTATTACAAAATTCTTATTGACTATTGTAATCGGAACCAATTTCTTATAAGCCTCAAAGCGAGTGGAAAGAAAATCAAATTATTTCAACTCATTCACTTGCTTAATTGTCCGTGATTGTTGATTTTTAAAGGCCGTTTCTAACATAAAATGCAGCTGTTTCACTGGATGACTGACGAAAAATTATTTAAAAAAAAAATACGTAAGGGCTGTTTCGAAATACAGGAGACATTGTAAAGAAAATCGACTGGATCTTGTCTCAAGGTGAGTACGTCTGCGTGATTCCAACCTGTCCATCAAGTAAGAAGGGGAGACAAAGAGAATTCTGTTCGAACATTCGAGGCCACCATAGCCTAAGACACCGCCAGCGAGGAGTCCATGGCGTGCAGTTTGACCCACCCCTTTTGGTATGGCCCGGAGGAGCGCTGTCTGCCATAGTGTAGCTTGTCGTAGTTTTGTATCTCAACCTGTACACTGAGACACCAGAAAAACTGTGAAATGGCCAAGACTGGGTTACTGTGAAGGAGTACTGGAATAGTTTGGTTTAAAGGTGTTACTTAAGGCCATCTGTACTTAAGAGAAAAGGTGGGACAAGTAGATCTGCCACGAACGAAGAGAAATAACATTAATTTCTGAACACCCCCAGGTTTTCTACTAAACCTAAAATAACTACCAAGTCAGATAGGATATACGTAGATCTGCCAAACGAATTGTATAATTGACAACAATTGCTATTTCTTATATCATCAGCAACAATCCGACCCCAGACCTAGAATCTCACAGTTTTTATTTTCACATACTGCACAAGAGAATGAAAGTATTTCAAAAAATATATAGATAAGAGATTTATATTTTGACTTTTGTACTTTGTAAGTTCACTTATTTATGTGCATATAATCA